AGAAAAAGGAGAGTGAGCATTAAGTGCTTCCTAGTCTCTAGATCAAGTTCGAAACCAAGCAGTCTTGCTCTTGAAAAAGAGTGTCACTTAGCTGTCTTCAAAAGATGCAGATTCTAAAGCCCAAGTCAGGCACCTCTTGCAGTCCAGTGAACCCTACTTTGTATTGCACAATAACCGTTTCCCCAGATCTCTGCACAATACTATGTATTAGAGACCTTAGGAAAAGCTTTCCATACTGTCCAGATTATCTGCTGGAAGAAAGGTGCCTGATTACACGCAATAGTTCAGCTTGCAGATGCACAAGCCACATACCCACAGGACCTACATTGACCATGCTCCACTTAGCCATAGCAAATATTTTAAGTCCTGGTTCAACTAGCTGTTTCTACAAGACCTACACACAGCACAGTTTGAGTGCCTGTTCAGTGAAAATGTGGAGATCGTAACAGATTTGAGTGCTCAACACTTGAGCATTAATTTTCAGGAAGTTTTCTAGATTAGCAACATCAGTAGAAAGAAGAAAATATGCATCCACATTATAAAGAAAAAGATAACAATGGGCAAGGTTACATACACTCCAAAAGGATATTGCTGAATCAGTTTACACATCAAGTGTAATTAAAAAGTGGATAACATTTTAAAATCAGCTTATTCCAAGCATTGAGGGAAAACAGCACAAACTCTTCAGTGCCAAAAACGGTGGCATAGATAACCCTCTAAGTATTTCCTTGGTACACTTATAATTTACTTTAAAAAAATAGATTTCACAGAAGATGATTTTAGTTACATCTGATGTAACACCATTCACAGTTGACTCCTTGCTGCTTCTTATTCCCTTTCCAGCCCAAGCCGTGGCAAACAGCGAGCTAACAGAGTAACAACGTGCATACTCCCAAACTCCAATAGGCCAAGGGCCAGACAATGCTAATACAAATTGTGATGCAAAATGAGCACTTAACTGTCTTGCTTTTAATTGACTAAATAAAAAGGAGGAGGATTTAATTCCATGCCGGGCCCCAAATTCACAGTATGCTGCTACAAGCAAGACTGGGAGGTGGAGGAGGAAGTTGCCAGGAGCTTGGCCAGACTGAGACCACGGCTTATGCAATTACTGAAAGGCAGTATCCCTTCTTTCTGAATACCTACTGTAACACTGGGGTCACAGAACACTTAAAGATGAGATGCAAAGACATAGAACAAGTCTAAGTGCAACCACCAGAAACAAATGGATTAGAGGCACCCACTGTATCAAAAGGCAATCTCCTGAGAACCTAATCAAGGAAACAGGAAAATTAGATTTCAGACGAATGTAATTGTCAAATACTAATGATTGTCCTGCAACCTACTGTTTTGACATTGTCCTTGCTCAGAACAACTTAATCATTTAATTCAAATGCTATTTGGAAGCCAAAGCAGTGGTTGCAGAAACCAAAGTTAGATAGTTATCTACAATCAATTTAAAAATCTGTTTTTCCACTGACCCTAACCACACTGCAGTCCTACTTGCTATTCGGGATGTAGGTCTCCACTTGCAGGGGTTCTAGCTGAACACAGATCTCTGACCTGAAACCATCATTCTTTCATGGTTTGTTGGATACATGCTTTGGGCCAAGTCTAGTGAACAGAAAATGTATTTTCTCTCCTAGCATCAGGTATACTAAATAAAATAACACTTGTTTTGAAAGCAGAATCTGTAGCTCACCTCAACTACACCAAAACAAAGAGAAGCAGTTATTCACTGCACCTTTACTCTTTGGCCAGGATGTTTCATCTGTTTTGTAAGAACTGGCTATCCTTATACTCTATACACTTGGCCTCTGCTGAAGAGAATCCACCTGAAGAGAATCCTAAGGCAAAAGTCTTCTAAAGAAAAGGAGGGAAAAAAAGAAACATCTTTCCAGGTCAATCACTGCAACAAGAATACCAAGGGAAGGAGCAGCAGTATTTAACCACAGGTGAAGGGGACAAACCACTGCACTAGGAGCAAGATGCTGCTGTTTGTCTGTTTTTACTGGGCTTAGGCAGGAGTCACCACACTAATGGGAGTTTTAATTTATTTTTTAAATCATTGCACAGGGAACTTATGACATGATTTCACAGCAAAAATGCCAGTAGGGTCAAGACACTATCATTCCTGACCAGAAAGGAATTCCTGCAGGGAGAAAGGTCTACTCAGAACATCCAATTATCATGAGCTTAATTTAAATCAGAAAAAGCATAGATAAAGAACTTCCGTATGCATATCCCAGTTACATGCTCTAATCACTAGGTTATTCACTGCTCAAAGGGAGACTTTGACTTTGACAGAGGCTGGGAAGGTGGAGTCAACTTCAAGCCATTGTGAGCTGTCACCCCTAGAATTATGAAACACCACAGGTAGCCCACCACAACCTCCTGCGCGACAGTAGCTGCATTTACACATTCAAATGCTCAGGAAACATTCACGGAGAGAGGTACTTCTTGTTGGAAAAAGTTGTTTCACATCATGCACTCATTCATTTATGGCAGAAGGAGTCGTATGAAAATATGTTAACAGAATAAAGCTTATGCAATTTTTTTGCAAAAAGCTCAGTAGTCTTCCTAGGCACTAATGAAACTTGTCAGCTTTTCCAGAACAAAACTTTCCAAAACTAAAAGCTTTCTGTAATGGAACAAAAAAAAGTTTTTGCATGCCTGTCCACAAACTCTGCACTTTGAGGCATTTCAGGCTGCTGGCAAGCACTTATTGGGCACACAAAAATCTAGAATTTCTTCTTCTGACTTCCCTTCTCCAAGGGAAGAGAGAACAAGAATAAAGTAAAATATTGGGCTAAACAGATGACTTTCAGCTTTCACTGAAGGCTAATATCCAATTTCCATATCTAGCTCTTTTTGCATTAGACCTCTGGTTTAACCAAACATGACAGCTAAAAGGAAACCTGATAGGGAGTTGTGACCACAGAGGGGAAATTTTTATAATTATTTTTATTTTTAAATAATAGAAACTGAGAAAAAACTTGGTAATTTCTTTTTAGGGATGAAGAGCTGCTTTTTGAATCCCAGATTATCTTACTACTCACATATGACTGACTCTTTTTATTAGTTCTGCAATATCAATTGATGGGACAGAGGGGAAAGCAGTATTCACGGGTCCTGTTTCAAGTTCTGCCACTGATTTGCTTTTATGGCTTCAAATAATTAATTCCATTTCTTTCTGTAGCTCAAGTTTCTTCTTGTACAAGATGGATAGAAGCCAGTACTGCCTATATTACAAAGGTGCCAGGAAAATAAATTTATTTTAAGGTCCTCTAAGGATCTGGGAGAGACAGTTATGAACTCCAGAAGGATAATTTACTCTGAATCATAGAATGACAGTCTCTTTAAGATCTTTACAATGGTAAATGATGATTTTTTAAACTGATGCATTATCAGTTTTGTTAGCATTTAGAACACACCAAATCAGAGATTTTTTCGTTTTTTCTGGCTTGCTGGTAAAGAAGCTTCTTCACTTACATAGCAAATCTTGTTTCAACAGGAAAACTGCGTTAGATCGCTATAGTCTTGAGAAGGCAGGCTTCACTCACATCCTCAATGCGGCCCATGGTCAGCGGAATGTGGACACAGGACCAGAATATTATCACGACATGACGATAGAGTACCATGGAGTGGAAGCAGATGACCTCCCCACTTTCAAGCTCAACCAGTTCTTTTATTCAGCTTCTAAATTCATTGACAATGCACTTCAGGATGAAAGAAGTAAGAAGGGTGCTGAAAATGGCTAACAACAGTACAGTATTTACTCTATCTGCTTATAAGCATAGTTCCACAGCATTCATCCTTGTGGGAATGAAACAAGTCCAACAGTTTAAAAGAGAATATAAAATTAGTAAGACAAGTTAACTAGGACCCTCCTCACTGCAGAGCTAGTACCAGCCCAAGAGCCCCTTACCAAGCACTTCAATAAGTCCCCATCACAGCTCGCATTAAGGTGGCCGGTCTGATAGAGGTTTTCTTGTTGTTTTGACTGCTTCATAGAGACAATAAGACATTGCACAGGTTGCATGAATTAGCTGTTGTTTCCTCAAATTTGTCCCTATTAAGAAAGACTTAATTAATATTGGTTGCATAGCAGTGGGAGCAGAACACGAGCGCTCTGCAGAAATTCCAGGCTGTCGTTCCACAGCTTCATGCTCTGCAGCATTAGATTCACTCTACAAATATAAAATCCACCTTCCTACCTGGCCACCAGATCTACCCCAAGGGAGAACAGATCTGCTTCTGCCATACTGCAAGTAGCAGGGGAACAAAACTACTCTGACAGCAGAGATCTAGAAACATTTCATTAAAGCCTTTGTAATTTCTCAGTCTGATTACTACAATTATTTGTTGACCTCCAGCAGTGTTCTATCAGAAAGCTTTACATTCATGTGAAGAAGTGCTACAGCCTAGGCCTCACGCTGGCTTTCAATATTACTCCTACTCCTTCCTCCACCCCCCCTCCTTTTTTTTTTTTAAATCTCTACAGGATATTTTACCAGAAACCTGCTGAGAAACTTAAGACTTTCCTGATGACCTAGAAAGACCTTAATATCAGAGTGCCACATATCAAGTTTCTAGCTTCATGTCAGCTTCTGTTCTTGGCTATTTAGCTCAGCTGTAACCAGCCACTACATGGCTTGCCCCCAACAGCCAGTCAGGTTGTCACAATTTTACCTTTTCAACAAGTACAGTCTACAGCAAGTCCCTTCCCTTGTTCAGGAGGAAGTCTTGAAAGCAGTTCATTTCTGAAAATCAAAGTCCTAATAGCAGGAGAAACTGCTTCAGGAACTTGCTTGCTTGCTTGCGAAGAAAAGCATACTTTCAAAAAGTATGTCTGAAGCCTTTGGGAAGGAGTGGGTAACTAACACACACCTGTGTCTAGCCAAGGCTGGAGGACAGAGGTCAGTACCAGACTGGAGTAGCTGAAATAAGAACAGCAGACTCCCTCACTCCCATCACCCTCCTGTTCCTGTACCATGGAGGTAAAGAAACAAGCACAAGGGAAGCAGCAAAGGCTAGAAAAAACACTTGCACCCCCATAAACACCGAGGCAGGGAAGGGGGGAGGGGAGGAGTATCAACCTTTTTTTTCAAAACAACATCAAAGTCCAGGAAGTTCTGAGACAGTATCAAGCACCAGTCCAGCACTGAAACACAAGACCAAATTAAAGTGTGACTGGACGAACTTCTACAAAACAAAACAAAAATCTGCACTTAAACAGATACTACCAGCTGCAATCATTGCTGTAGCTTTGCACTGCCTGCCACATTCACATCATTTTTAAACAAGACACCTAGGATCTTTTCCGATGGAGACCAATGAAATAAAGAAACACCGTAACACTCATATAGAAAAAGAGCAAGCTCTTACCTTTCTCACAAAGTACATTAAATGCAAATCTTCTATCCCAGCCAAAGACATGCATAAAGACACATATGCAAGATTGAGGTTGAATGCATGACAATAGACATTTACAGAACAACAGAAAGACTCTAGAAGCTATACTGAAGAGAAGATTGATGTCTCTTACACTTACAGGAGAAAACACTAAAACCAAGTAACTAGTGCTCTCCTCCAACAACATAAATGCATTATTTGCAAATCCACATCTAGTGTAGAAAGGTGTTATGTATTTCAAGTGCCTAACGGAAGGACTATTTGCGTGCATCTTCCTGACTGACAAAGAGCTTCCAGATTCCTAGACAGGATTTTACAGTGGCAATAACATGGGACTTCAGTATATGGTGCTAAATACTTCTGATCAGTAACACCATTACATTCACTTACTACTTTGCATTAGAATTGAGCAAATGCAAAGAGAGGGAAAAAGGGAAAAAGTTTAGACTTTTGTTACCAGGATGTATGTATTAATGAATTTGCTTCAGCTGTATCACATTGTTTGGGGTGAGAGCTTCAGCCAGCCAAGTGATCAAATTCATTGAATAGTTATCTTCATACAATGTTTTTTGCTGGGAAGCTGCTCAACAGTCAATGTTATTGAAACAAGTTGTTCAGGAAAATGAAGAAGCCTCTCTTTCTGCAACAAGCAAGAAAGCTTGGCAACTTGGATGCTGTCAAAAGACAGTCCTAATGCAGTAATTCTGACTTAACCTTTAAAATCTTTGTGATGGCAAAGAAACTCCCTTATGAGAGGATTTTTTTCAGACTTTAGGCACAGACAGATGGACTTCGGAACAGTGGAAGTAGCTCAGTTATAACAGTAAGTTTTATAGGCAAACTTGAACTGTTCACAACTATGCATGCTACCATTCTGCTGTGCATAAAGCTTTCCCAAACCATGCAATTCAGACCATACGACCGCTTAAAATTTCTATCAGTGAGGCCTGATTAACCTGAAAGGAAGACATTATTTTAAGAGGTTTTTAAGTTCCTTTCTCTGCTACAGATTTAGTACTCATTCCCTTGGTGCCTTAGTTCCTAAGAACGTAAATTAGAGAGGAATAGCATTTTCTTTTCATGTGAAGATGTCATGGGAAAAAAACCAAAGACTGAGATAAAAGCAATGTGGGAAGAAACATACAAAACAAAGACCCAAGGCATTTGACCAAAGACACCTGAACATTCATCACTCCATCTGACTCTGAAAAGGGAGTACTGCATCTAGACAGATTTTTAAGAAACACAACCCCAAGTCAAGTGACCAAAATAGTTCAGGAACCTGTCACAACTCAGCAAACGTCTGGGTCTGTGCACCAGTACATTCAGACACATCTTGAAGGATGTAAGTGGTCAGAATCAAAAACTGCAAGAGAGGACTCCCTCCTGGGGAAAGAGGGTTCAGATTGGTCCTTAACGTCAGAACTGAAAAGACTACAAAATAGTACAGAAGGGACCTGGCCTTGTGTTTTGCTGTAAGAGGCAGTCAGATCTTGAATATTCACACATAGGAAAGGACAGACTTCATTTTCCTGCAACCAGGAGGCATTTCAGAGAATTGTACAGCCATTTTTTGCCTTTGTTAACACAATATAAAGCTGAACATTTTCTCCTAGATCCCCTGCATTTGCCACCCACACAAAGCAAAGCCTTCCTTGTCTTATCATGTATTTTATCACCTCAACAGCAACCCATTTACAAGGTGGGAAGCTCTAAAGAGAAGCACGAAGGGCTGAACAAATGAGAGTTTTCATCCGTTTCAAATATTTGCAGTAATAATAGAAAGGATTATAATTTTCCAGGAGAGAAGAGGCACTTTTAGTTATCAGAGAGACTGGAATTTTGCCAAGATGCCTCTAAGACTATCTGCTGGGATCAGGATGCAGACTGTAACCATTAAACCTCTAGTGTTGGCAGTTCTTGATGCATCCATTACACAGCAATGCTACTTGTGCCAAGACATCCTCTTGTGCCTGGAAGCAAAGGAGTTAATTGGCAGGAGTCATAGCTGTGCACCCAACACTTCTCACCAGGCACAGCTAAGAGATAAACTATTATTGGCCCTGATTGGATATTTTTTTTTTCCTGTGGCAACTCAGCTTAGCAGGGTGTTAGAGAGAATGCTCCAAATCTACTTCCTTCAGCATTTCAACCCTTTGTGAGACCCCCTAAAGGGCTTTGAATCATTTTTGGAAATCTTTTGAAGTGTTTCAAAACCTGTCAATCAGACCTGAACTCACTTACTGTTCTCTTCCTCCACCTCTCCCAGACACAGCAAATGGGGAAGGTTCCACTTCAGCCTACATCCTTGCTAGTACCCGAAGCCAAGGACTTTCTGCCTCTGGAAGTCCGGAGTTAAACCAAGCAATGTTAGAAAGCTAAATCTTGAGGCGCATTTATTCAGAGATGGAAGCTATTAGCAGAGAGTCTGCACTCATGGTATATGAGACAGGCCACTACTGCAAGGAGACGATCACATAAAACAGAGAGGTGGTGGTGGTAGTGGGGAAATGTTACCTTCATTTAATATGATGCTGTAAGGGTGACTAGCCAGAGATTTCTAAAGAAGCTTTCCTACAGTTTAAGAAGTGGTTTCTTTCTATTCTTCTATATGCCTGTGAACTTCTATGGCCCTTTTTACCCTCTGCCCTCAAAAATAACACTGAGCCTTAAAAAAGCCTTGTTAGATGTATTTTACAAAGGAAGTATTTGAGCATAAAGTGATGCAATCTAGATCTTGAAGGACATTATTGTCAGAACAACAAAAAATAATAAAATCTGGTTAGCTTTTGTGTCTAGCTGGCAGAACTGAGAAAGGCACCTCCTTACATCCCATTTATTCTCGTGGAAGGATGGTTCGGTAGCACACCAAACCCACCCATACCCTTGTGCTTTCATCACTATGCGCAAACACAGAATTACACATACGCAGCTTGTGAGACAACATTAGGTTGCAGAGGGGCTTGCTATGTTACCTAATGCAAGGCTGCAGGCCCCAGGCCTTCTCTGCAACCCTCGTTCACAAATAAATTCAAAGATACCTGGTTTAGGATTAAATGGGCAATCTCCAATGTAGGTTAGTAAGTAAGTTAGTACAGTAAAATTTACAGCCTCAGTTTCCTCACCCGTAAAAAGATGGGCCTTACAAAAGTGCTGGTAAGAGTAGTTAAGCCACCAAACAGAGCAGGGGCGCTACAGAAACCTTCACTGTCAAAAAAAGAAATTACCCAGTGTCATCTCTGCATCATCTCTCTTTGTTTCCACAGACAAGGTTCTGGTTCACTGTGCAATGGGTCGCAGCCGGTCAGCCACGTTGGTCTTGGCTTACCTGATGATTTACAAGAACATGACAGTGGTGGATGCCATTGAGCAAGTATCAAGACACCGATGCATCTTGCCAAACCGGGGCTTCTTGAAACAGCTGAGAGAACTGGACATAGCGTTGGCACTGCAGAGGAGGAACACCAAAAACAGCCTACCATCTGATGATGACGACAAGAGCACCATGATCTAGTATTGTTCCTGGCAGGGTTGTGCTACTGGAAAAGAAACTCCATAAAAGGAGTGGAGGGGAAAGTGTAGTTAATTACATTGTCACAAGGATCATTTGTTATTTGGAAGGAAAAACAAAGTCATTTAAAATGTTGTCAAGATGAGAAAGAAGGGAAGCCAAGTTTAAAACCCATCTTCTTAGAATATTCCAGCATTAGCAGAATTATTTGTGACATCTACAAATAAATTTTACCCTCTGTAAAAAAGCTTTTACAGCACAAAAGCAGGCACAACTTAGAGAAAACTCTCTTCTATCTGAGTACCCGCAAAAGCCTGATCCTATCCCAAGCACACAGATTTTAGAAGTGGAGCTAGACATTCCCAAAGAAATTTTGCGGGAAAAATACCCAGATGGTAGCAGCACAGACGAATAGTTTAGTCCCAGAGTCCTGAAGGATTTTGCAGGAGTTTGCCTTTTTGTGCTGTTTCCTGGCATCTCCATTTCTTCTTTCACAGTAAAAATCTAGGGCAGCACAGCGTCTAGAGAGCCTCCAGATGAGGATCGACTGACTACCCAGTCTTCACAATGGACTCTGCAGCAGGCCATGCAAACTAGAAACAAAGCAAGACCCTTGACAAGGTCAGATGCATAAGCAGATACAATGGACAACAATTTAAGGAGATACATACAGATGACATTTTAGCAGTTTCACTTTTAACTTGTTTTTCCTAAATGCTTCAACTGCCTGAATTTTAAAAGGTCGTAAGCATCCAAGTCAATTTACTAGTCCACAAAAAAAGACTGAGAAAATTACTTGTGACTTGTTTTTTCCTGCACTTGGAAAAACTAATAGCTAGAATAATAAACAAGAAAAATAGGATGTCCTTTACATTGCTAAGAGGAAATTTAACACTGAACTTGTGCAGCCCTAATAACCTCCTAAATAATCACAGATTATAGCCAGTTTCAGTTAGAATTTGCTTTTGATTTAAAAAGGTAAGAGACACAGGTGAGGCTTTTAAAAAAAATCTCACAGCAGCCTGACTAACCAGGAGAAAGCTGCTGCAGTGCTTCCAGACACCACTGTTTATATTTACCACTAGCAAATGTTTCCTCCTATCTCAGCTTTAGTCACCTTAATACATTATTGTGCTCCAATACAGTTGCTATTAATCATATGTGTTGACAGAAGTAGTCCAAATACACAAATGGGGATGCCAGATTTACTTTTCTGCCTAAACTCATTAAATTTACTCTATTTGATACAAATTATCAGTAACTGTTTTGACACAATGAGAGCTTTGCCACCTCAACAGTATTTGACAGCCTTAAAATATACTGTAGAGGAGGATCACAATTAAGCCATGTTTATTTTTCTGCATCTGTTAAAAGGTAAAGTCATCATCCTCCCTACTGGAATTTTGCCAAATTCAATGTATCAGATAAAAGCTGTTTACTACCTCAGCACCTGAGAGGAAAAACCCAGCCAGTGCACAGGAGCGTTCTCTAGGTCTTTACCAGGTGCCAAAGATTTTTTAACTTTGGTGCAGTATGGACTGCAGAAGTCTTGGACACTTTAAAAAAAGAACACGGGGCAGAAACGTGCCACTGAGAACTGTGAGCATATCCTACAAACCAAAGAGAGTTGAGCATAACTTTAAACCATTTTTTTGTACGTTAATAGCTCTTTACAGGCTTAGCATCTCTAGTGCAAAGGCTTTCCTATTCTTTCACTTCTTTTTGGGGCCCAAAGCCCAGTAAATCATTCATCTCCAAACAGCAACTGTAGCCAAGGCCTCAGGCACCCATAACGCAATGCTTTTGAGTATTTATCTATACAATAAGGACCTTATCTTCAAATTCTCAAACACAAGAGAACACAATAAACACAACTAGACTACTGTTAAAAAACAAATTAGACATCACAATGTGAACCATATTCATCACAGACATGACAAACTCTGGGATTTACAGCAAATGAAGTATCCCTGGATTAGAAAAAAACATGAATAAAAGGAAATGCAAAGGAAGCCACTTGACACTTCAAAAACAAATTAACAGTCACAATGTGGGTTTAGAGAGTAAAATAATTCTTGGAAGGGGTCACGCATCTTTCCATCTACTTCCATAGACCTTCAAATGCACCTTTTCAGAGCACCTTACTGTCTACTGCAACTCAATTCACAACCCAGCCTTGTATCCGACAAACCTGCCTTTCAGACACATGGCCCTGGTCTTTCATGAACTCCAATGGAGAAAGCTGAACTTTCTCACCTCTATGGCAGCAGCGTGTTTCTTAGCACTAGCCTTACAGACAGGAATCGTTTACCAAATGATCTACTGTAATACAAGAAATATCTATCAGGTTTCCCTCAGCTGAGTTAAGATTCTCTTCTTGTATCCTGCACAATAGCTTGATGACTGCTTAACTGGAAGAGGATTTACAGCCAATTTGCATGCAGAATTGTATTTGAACAAGGTTTTCTGGGGGAGGTCGGCATTTCTTTTGCAGTATGAGACTTGTGCAAATACAGAAGAAAAATTTCAGTTTCCTGAGGCCCAGCTGCTTTTGGTGGAGACTGGCAAAACTTTCAAACAGCCTCCCAGCCACCAATAGAAAGCAAAATACTAGAACTCCTAAGTAGCTCCCACTCATTTGTCCTGCATAGCAGATTACAAAATTGGCACATGGCAACACTGACATAGCAACAGAAGAATGTATCAACAATTTCCAAAAGACAGGATTCCAAGCTACTCAGAAACTAGGAGCTGCTATTCTTGCATGGAGATGAAAAATAGCACAAAACTGTTTTCTCAAGAAGTAAATCAATAGAACCTCATATTCCAGGGTTTCTACACATACTACCTGAAGGCCTTAAACATGGTTTAATTAAGCTTATTTATCCTTATTTAGTAGACGGGGAAAAAACTACCAAGAATTTAAATCACTCAACTAAAGTTATGATAAAGCAAAAACTGTAAGCCCTACCTTATATCTTCTTACCAACTCCCTCCCTACTCCACAAAGTTCAAAACAACACCTTTTGATCAACGCACACCCACAATTTCACTATGGAAGAGCTGACCTGCATTAGTATACAGGTCATAATACTGGAAACACATAGTTTTAATACAGAGAAGTATTAAAAGCAAAGGGAAGAGGAAGAAAACCAGAATCATAGGTTTTACTACATTGGTCAGTTTGCCTGCTCTTATAGGTGTCAGTCTCTACAGAACAGGCTGTAATAGGATCATCCTCAGCACTACAGATAATTGCCAGGACTGCTCCCTTCTATTTACCACACTGTACATAAATGGAACATTTTTTCCATCAACTAGCATGTCTGATGTACAAATTAAACAGGTTATAAAACTAAAACACACAGGCAGTTATCTAACATGAAAGCTTTGTATGTTTAGAAGTCCCATCTTTCAGGTAGTCACAGTGTGACAACAGTTACCATTCCTGTCTTTGCTAAAGGGCTAGAGTGTAGCTTTCAGATGAAGTAGGTTCTGCTCCAAAGACAAGCATTTTCCCTAGAACTAGGTCTTGCCTAAAGCACTCTGCTGGTACAGCTATGCTAATTAAGCAATTCTGAAGTAAACATACATCTTTCCTACTTCCCAGCTTTTTTCCCTAACATTCTCGCAGGAGCAATTAGACTAAATCAGAAAAAGCAGAAGTTCTGGAACTCATACCTTCCACAAAGTAGGCAACCCCTTCAAGTTGCTAACTAGCTAACTAACAAGTGTTAGCAGTACCAACTTCACATACAAGCCAGGTCTGAAAGCAATGTACATGCAGAATGAAACAAGTTTATTTCCTTCTCATAAATCACTAGTGATATGAAGTATCATTTTGTCAAACCAAAGACTAAGACTGCATGGGCAGGGAAATCTGCATTTCACAAGAATCATCTATTGCAAGTCTGTGAAGAATTCTTTTGAGATACTAAAAAAAAAAGAGCTATTTCTCAGCTGGGACAGTGCTAGAGCACAGTCAAAACTGACACTGCAACGGCCACACAACACATGGAACAGGTAGATCTGTCAAGGAAAAGACAGCTTTCTTATAAAACAGAAATTTCAGTGTAGTAATGCAATTCACAGCTGAATAGTCACTATGGGAAAAGATGGAGGACAGCCATTTGTGCTCCTAAAAGGAATTAAGTTCTGAAATTAAAAAAAAAAAAAAAAAAAGAAACTTGCCTGTCATGCACACACAGTACATAATTTTCCACTAGAGTTTTAATCTATGCATTGCAAATACAGAATTTTAGCAATATGCTGGAGTCAGGATACTGTGTTTCAGGTTAGCACATACTGAAATGGCAAGATGGTCTTATTGGCCTTGGAATCCTGAAACTAAAGAGCAGCGGATAATGACCCAGGTGCCTTTTTCATTCACTGTAAAAACATAGAAATGAAAAAAAAAATCACAAAACATAGTGCTATTTTGAGGTGCAATTATTCAAAGGTACAAGGTCCTAGTTACCCACCCTCGAAGGCTGCATGTTAACTGTGCTGAGTTCACCTTCCCTTTTCCTAAGTATAAAAAACAGATGACAGTGACTTTGTGGTGTCAAACACACATACAGTTCAAGCACTATGAATCTTCTCTGCCTTCAAAACACAAATTTCATAGTGTAAGCGTATGAATAAAGATTCTTTTTGTATTGTGCTCTCCTTATCAAACATTTGAATTCCTAAAATACAAGTTACTCCAAATTACCATTTAACCAGCAATTTCAGCTCCCACTCAGATCCACTACTTCAGACTGCTGCACCATCGTATTAAAATTGAACAGGTTATGTGTATAAATCTGTAGTATCAATTTCTTCATTTGGTAACACCAGACACTTTAAGGGTTTTATTTAAAGAAATACACATTTCTCCAACTTTCAAGCATGTAAAATATCACCTATAAAGGTGCTTTATATACTGGAATGGGGACATACTGAGTTTTCAATCAAGACGACCAATCTTTTCACTTTATCCAGCAAACCTCCTGCAGTGTCAGTGGGCTAGAGAGGAGATTCAGTGGCAACATTCACATTAGAATAATTTTGA